AAAATTGGCATTTTTTACGTCGGAATCTGGATCACCTAAAAAATGGTTTGATATTGCTTACGAAAATCGTCGAAATTGGTGTATGCTCGATTCTGGGCTCGTTTGAACTTGAAAATGAGTTGAATTGGCCGTGATAGAGAACTGGCTGCATAGCCAAGGTATTGACGGACGTCCACAAAAAAATTTGGTACTTTGACCTGATCACCTAAAAAATGGTTTGCTATTGCTTACGAAATTATCGAAATTGGGTATGCTCGCTTCGGGGATTGTTTGACCTTAAAAATGAGTAGGATTGGCCGTAATGGACAACTGGCTGCATAGACAAGGTCTTGACGGACGTCCACAAAAAAATTTGGCATTTTTGACGTCAGAATCCGGATCACCCAAAAAAATAGTTTGCTATAGCACACGAAAATCGTCGAAATGAGGGGTATGCTCGCTTCGGGGCTCGTTTGACCTTCAAAATGTGTCAGAATGGCCGTGAGGGCCAACCGGCTGCATAGACAAGGTATTGACGGACGTCCAAAAAAAATATTGGCATTTTTATCGTCGGAATTGGATAACCCAAAAAATGGTTTGCTATAGCACACGAAAATCGTCGAAATGGGAGTGTATGCGCGCTTCGAGGCTCGTTTGACCTTGATAATTGGTCGGACTGGCCGTGAGGGCCAACTGGATGCATAGCCAAGGTCTTGATGCATGTCCACAAAAAAGTTTGGCATTTTTGACATCGGAATCCGGATCACCCTAAAAATGGTTTGCTATAGCACACGAAAATAGTCTAAATAGGGGGTATGCGCGTTTTGGGGCTCGTTTGACCTTAAAAATGAGTTGGACTGGCCGTGATGGCCAATTGGCTGCATAGCCAAGGTCTTGACAGACGTCCACACAAAATTTAGGCATTTTTGACGTCTAAATTTGGATCACCTAAAAAATAGTTTGCTATTGCTTACGAAAATGGTCAAAATTGGGGTATGCTCGCTTCGGAGCTCTTTTGACCATGAAAATGAGTTGGATTGGCCGTGATGGCCAACTGGTTACATAGCCAAGGTATTGACGGACGTCCACAAAAAATTTTAGATTTTTTGACGTCTTTATCCGGATCACCCAAAAAATAATTTGTTTTAGCACATGAATATCGTCGAAATGAGGGCTATGCTCGCTTTGGGGCTCGTTTGACCTTCAAAATGGGTTGGACTAGTCGTAAGGGTCAACCGGCTGCATAGACAAGGTCTTGACGGACGTCCACAAAAAAAATTGACCTTTTTGATGTCGGAATCCGGATCACCTAAAAAATGGTTTGCTATTGCTTATGAAAATCGTAGAAATTGGGGTATTCTCACTTCGGGGCTCGTTTGACCTTGATAATGAGTTGGATTGGCCGTGATGGCCAACTAGTTGCATATCCAAGGTATTGCCAGACGTCCATAAAAATTTTGGAATTTTTGACGCTGGAATCCGGATCACCCATAAAATGGTTTGCTATAGCACACGAATATCGTCGAAATGAAGGGTATGCTCGCTTTGGGGCTCGTTTGACTTTCAAAATGGGTTGGACTGGCCGTGAGGGCCAACCGGAAGCATACACAAGGTCTTGACGAACGTCTACAAAAAAAATTGTCATTTTTTACGTCGAAATCTGGATAACCCAAAAAACGGTTTGCTATTGCACACGAAAATCGTTGAAATGGGGGTATGCACGCTTCGAGGCTCGTTTGACCTTGAAAATTGGTCGGACTCGTCGTGAGGGCCAACTAGATGCATAGCCAAGGTCTTGACGCACGTCCACAAAAATGTTTGGCATTTTTGACGTCGGAATCTAGATCACCCTAAAAATAGTTTGTTATAGCACACGAAAATCTTCTAAATAGAGGGGTATATGCGTTTCGAGGCTCTTTTGACCTTGAAAATTGGTCAGACTGGCCGTGATGGACAACTGGATGCATAGCCAAGGTACTGACGGATGTCCACAAAAAAATTTTGGCATTTTTGACGTCGGAATCCGGATCACCTAAAAAATGGTTTGCTATTGCTCACAAAAATCATCGAAATTGGGGTATGCTCGCTTTGGGGCTCATTTGACCTTGAAAATGAGTTGGATTGGCCATGATAGCCAACTGGCTTTATAGCCAAGGTATTGACGGACGTCCACAAAAAAATTTGGTATTTTTAACGTCGGAATCTGAATCACCTAAAAATGGTTTGCTATTGCTTACGAAAATCGTTGAAATTGAGGTATGCTCGCTTCAGGGCTCGTTTGACCTTGAAAATGAGTTGGATTGGCTGTGATGGCCAACTGGCTGCATAGATAAAGTCTTGACGGACGTCCAAAAAAAATTGGCATTTTTGACATCGGAATCCGGATCATCCAAAAAATGGTTTGCTATAGCACACGAAAATCGTCGAAACGAGGGGTATACTCGCTTCGGGACTCGTTTGACCTTCAAAATGGGTCAGACTGGCCGTGAGGGCCAACCGCCTGCATAGACAAGGTCTTGACAGACGTCCACAAAAATAATTGACATTATTGACGTCGAAATCCGGATAACCCAAAAAATGGTTTGCTATAGCACACGAAAATCGTCGAAATGGGGGTATGCGCGTTTCGAGGCTCGTTTGACCTTGAAAATTGGTCGGACTGGCCGTGAGGGCCAACTGGATGCATAGCCAAGGTCTTGACGCACGTCCACAAAAAATTTTGGCATTTTTGACGTCGGAATCCGGATCACCCTAAATATGGTTTGATATAGCACACGAAAATCGTCTAAATAAGGGGGTATGCACGCTTTGGGGCTCGTTTGACCTCTAAAATGGGTTGTACTGGCCGTGATGGCCAACTGGCTGCATAGCCAAGGTATTGACGGACGTCCACAAAAAATTTTGGAATTTTTGACGTAATCCGGATCACCGAAAAAATGATTTGCTATAGCACACGAAAATCGTCGAAATTGGGGTATGCTCGCTCCGGGGCTCGTTTGACCTTGTACATCTAAATCTTATGCATATCTTAATATAAAATGTGTATTCAGATTTAAACGTCTTAATCTTAATTAAAACAAATGAGGCCTTAAACTCTCCTATAGATCTAATCCGTTTCTGAATTATTCAGATTCCAAATTAAAAACCACACGCATTTAACTGACTGAATTTGAATAATTAAGATTCGAACCTTTATTAAATATAAATAAATAATGTTTAAATTAGCCTCTAAATAATAAAATTGCGAGATTCGCAAACAGTCTTTCCTTTATATATAATATGAAGAAAAAATCTATAAGCAAAAATAAAAAGCAAAATCATTTTTTTTTAAGAACAAAAAAATTATTCCTTGAGCTTGTCGACATCCATCTCCTGCTTGACAGAAATACTACTTCGTGTTCAAATTTACTCAACATTTTACAAATTTCGAAAATCAAATAAATTTATCTTTAATCGATAATTTTCATGTATCTTATGGTTATTCTTAAACCCATAGGCCAGCCACATTAATTTGACAACAATTTTCATTTAGATATCGTGAGTAGGCTTTCTCATTTTAGACCCCTTATTATGTCATTTTGATACTTTGTATTGATGTAACAACGTGAATACAATACACTCGTTAAATAGCGCGTGAGAGGCTTATTTAAGCCTATTTTTTAACATATTTTTTTGTCTTCTTCTTTCCCACTTTCACCTTTACATCTTCCCTTATTTCCCCAAACTTAAAATCATTCGATGGACGTTTAAAATATAATTACATATTAATATTCCAAGCAAAATCTTAAATAGCTTTTTTTAAAGAATGAAGAATAAAACTAAGAAAAAGAAAGAAAATCTACAATCATGACTATGCCTTATTCAACCATTATAACTTTTAAAATTTCATATTTATACTTTTAAACAACAAATAAAATCAAATGGGTACAGCGAAGAAGACGATAAACCGAAAGTGGACCATGAAAAAGCAGGATTGAACAAGATGATGTGGTGGTGGAGATGATGAAAGAAGCCATGAAAAGGGAGAAGATGAACGGGGGGTTGAGGGGTGGAAAGGTTTCATTTTTCTTTGAATTCAAAATTCAATTCTATTCGTTTTGACCTGTAATGAGTTGTCATAATATAAGTTGCTATTTAATCCACCTGGACCCATTGATTCTGCACGCACATAGAGAGAGCTTATGAAAAAAGTGTTAAAATAACACAACATGTCGAAATGACGCACATGCCCTAACATAAGGTGATGAATAAATTCTCATAAATAGAATCCCAGAGGGAGTAATCATGACATATATTTGTTGAGAAATAATGTTACATTTCAGACAACTTTAAAATCAACACAAACTAATAGAAGACAAGTAGGTTAACTTGAAGATGCTAGATAGTAAACAGGATCCAGGTGGATTCGAACCACCATCCTCTCAATTGCATACGCATTGAGCGCTCCTCCAGTAGCGAGCTCATGGATCCATCCAGTTATCAATATTTCAACCAAGTTATAATCACCAAAATTAATATTTTTTATAAAAATAAACTAAACTCAAAAGAGGGGGTTAAAAATATTTAAAACATTGTACCGCTATAATATACGATGTGCTTTAAATCCTCATCAACAACTATATAAGAATAATGTCGTCATTTCCATTATAAATTTGTGAGACATTGCCCAGCTATAATCAAGGTTGCCAAGCATAACAGGTTAACTATAGACTATATTCTTCAAATATCTCGTCTTTCGGATAACATTAGGAATAACATAATTGAAGAGACAAATGGGTAAAAGAACTTCATCTACAATTGAACAGTAAAATTCACAAAATCATACAATTCGAAAGCTGTTTAGTTAATTCTCGTGTGTCAAAGTTAATAATTTTGTTTAGACTTTTTAGGTTGTAAGAAAGTGAATGTTCATAAAATGTGAGTTAATAAGTAAAAAATATAGAAAAATAAGCAGTATATACTAAAAACGTTATCTTAACCACATAGCAATAAAAGAAGAAACAAAAAAACTGAAACCAAAATTATCTATAGGATGGGATTATAATTTATTTCCCCTTTTGCTCAAAGAAATTGACTACCAGTGAGTGAATTAAAAACACAACTGATTAACAAGCATAACAACCTAACATTTAAGAACAGATTACCTCAACAGACGATCCAGTAATCAAATATATCAGATAACAATATTTCCTAGTGGTTAACCCTGCAGTGAAGAGAAGTATACTTGCACAGTATACATAGCAAAAGATGGCAAATATCCCCACTTTTCTGCCTACATAACAGCAACTTCTCAAGTAAGGCATAATAATAAGTTGTAATCACACTCCATCAAATATAGCCCGCTTCAAAAATGCGCACATTCCTTGCACAAATGGATCGAGGACAACAATAAAATGGTAACACAGACAGCATATAAAACAGGTAATTCCAAGAGCGTAGAAATTGTTTACAGCTTTTGATGAGAGTACCATGATTCACAGACAGCAGCAACTTAGTCAAGAAACTTCGGAAATGTCAAGCAAGTTTCCAATAGTTATCCTAACACACTTGCAAGATGCTTCCTTATCAGGCTTGCTAGAACGAAGAAGCTGACAATTGGGTTTGCTCATTGTGTATTCCAAGTGAAGATGGTGCAGGTAAAGAGAGTTGAGAATTTCCACATAAAACTTGATTGCACCAGAAATATGACGGCATATAAAACAGGAAATTCCAAGAGCGTGATCAAGGAAACAAGTCCAAAAGTAGAACATAATAATTGATTTCAGCATGGAGCAGATCCATAGCAGTATGGCACAGCAACTTCCAAGTCAGCATGCACAGAGAACCGGCCAGCAGAGGAACAACAATTGTACAAAATCCAGCAATTAACTTACTGAATCATACCCCAATAAACATTCACCCTCTAGGATAACAGAATGAGCTCAACAACACTCCATTGAAATCCACCATTGCAAATTATAACAAGAAAATAAATACAAAGATAGTTCCACAGCCTTTAATGTAATAATAAATTACATATTGAAATTTTCGCAGTGATGATAAATAAATAAATGGCAATCGTGTACACAGATTTCTTTTTGCATTAGTGATAGATATTGATTTAACAGACTTGACAAAGATTTAGAATATGGATGATGAAACAAATAATAATCTAGTCTCATTTAATAGCCCACCATTTGATTAGTAAAAGAGAGATCAGTATCTCAAACCCAAATTTTCAGATCGTCAAAACTGCTAAACCTCATTTGGAAAACTAGTTCACTCCAGATATATTAAGCTACAGATGTTAATTTATCATTATTCGCAAATGGTTAGATTATCTTATATCTCTGTGAAACAGATTTGACTTAGAATTGAACTGTTCCAGTACTCAAAATAAGTCATTTTGCTATTTCATTTGATAAATTAATCAATAGTTATAAGTAGGCTGAATGAACTCTTATATGTTAACAAAATTACTACCTGTACTCAGAAACAATTAAAGATTTTACGGACTACTATTGGCAATTTACTCATGGAAAAAAGTTAAGTGTCAAAGTTAGTTAAAGGAATTCACAAGTGTACCTTTGATAGGAGAGTGGAGCTGAATATTCCTAGAATTCGCCTGTCCATTGTTGTATTAATAGTGCATGACATACCTATCCATTGAAAAGGTAGAGCGCTGCTATAACTTTGCGGATATCGAAACCATCGTTCGGGGACATTAACGCCAAATTTGATGAGACGTTTATCTGAATAGATCTTGCAGACAGTTCTAGAAAAGAAAGGAGGCCAAAGACAGACACAGAGAGGAGAGTCGGGCAAAAAACCCCGTACCATCTCCCCTCCGAACACAAAAATCGCATCTTTATTAGGTTTTGTGACCTGCCATGCGAGCGCACCCGGCATGGCAAAGGCCGGCAAACAACAATAAAGAACCTCACACATCCTCTCTTTTCTCTACAGTCTGATTATCTACTCGTACATATGCATGCATAACAGTAAAACTAATGCAAATTTTCATAATTAAGCTGAGAATAGACAACGAATTAAACTATGATAACCTTATCTAACAACCTCAAGCTTGCCGTTTACCATCCCCGAGATCTAGCATAAATAGAACACCAGTGATATCCAATTGCACCAAGCTCTACAGAGATACGGTAAAATCACCAGATTGAAACGATGACAACCTGCAGCGATCCGAAACACACAATAGATATCAATAAACAGAATTAGATCAAAAGTTGTGGTAAAATACAGATAGAATAAGCATAGAATCTCACCGATAAAACTCAAAAAATCATCTCAGATCACCGAGAACTTCTTGAAAAGGTCATGCATCTCTCAATCTCGTAACAAAATCCATCAGATCTATCCAATCTTCGTCTAGCCAACAGCATCGTCCATAACCCGAGCAATATTCGTACCGAAATACCTCAGAAATGATAAATCGGCACTATCTGTTACGATTTGCACGGAAATGATGACCGATACAAGTCGAAACCATACTCAAACTGTAGATCGGCGAACGGTCTACACGAATCTGCATACCGATTCAGAAGCAGAGAAATGCCTATAAGGAGATCTGGAGATGAAAGATATTGCGGGAAGAGGAGAGAAGATGAAACTGGAATGCGAGTTCATGAAGTAATGATGCGTTAATTTATAACAGGGTTAGGATGATCGGACGGTTGAGATTAAATGAACTGATAGATGATGAACGGTTAAGATGCGTTGACTGTGTGTAGAGCTAAAGGCTGGCGATGAGTAAATTACGGAAATATCTATGTGGCTGTTGATCGCTGGTTTGTAACGTGTTTAAACATCATGTTTCACATTGATATTTTTATTAAAATTTGATTAACTTTAATTTTTTATCAAATACTTTGAGTCAAAGAGTGAAATACACCATAAAAAAGGTAACTCACTTAAAGGAAATTTGAATCCAAAATTTTAAATTGGAAAAATTATACGAATAAATAAATATATAATAGTTAAATTAGCTAATATAATTGTAGTTTCCACTAATAACCATTTACGGCTTAATATTAGTTATAATTACGTGTGTATCTTTCCTCTCTTTCTCTTTGCTGCCTTTCTCTTCTCGTGTATGTATACAAATACTAATTGATATGATTGTATACAATTTATTTATTGTTACAAATTTCCCTTCGTTATGCATATATAAAAATACAATCACTGATGTATGTGTATATGTGTTATATATGTATAATTATTTGATAAATATATAAATACAATTTGTTTTTCTTGACTCTCTGTTTTCTCTCGCTTGTCTCTCTCCTCCCTCTTTCAGTTTATCTTGCCCTTCTCCCTTTAACATATAGTTATAAATTATAATCAACCAATTATAACTACGAAACTTAAATAAATTTATTTTAATTAACTATTTTTGAAATTTCCCAAAAAAAAATGCATATCACTCAATAATTACTCCATCCGTTTCAAAAGAATGATTTTATTTCCTTTTTAGTCTGTTTCGGAAATAATAATCTCTTTTCATTTTTTGGCAACACTTTGATTTTAACTTTTCACGTGGCATATTTATGACCACAAGATTAAAGGGCATTTTGATACATTTAACACGACTTTAATTTAGAACCACAAAATTAAAAAATTTTATTCTTTTTTTAAACTGCATTTTAAGTCAAACTATATAATCATTTTCTAAACGGAGAAAGTATTTTTTATTGGTACATGTTTCACGCTTATTATTTCACAAATAATTAATTCAAAATAATCGTAGGTAGGTGATTGATGTAGAACTTTTTAATTTGACAACATGATATTTGTTAGAATGTAGATTTCTTTTATTGGAAACTAATTGTAAATTGATATTAAAATTATTTGTAATTTAACTTATAAGACGCAAACGTACTCACAAAATTACTTAGGCCTCATTTGTTTTTATTAAGATTACGACGTATGAATTTACATACACATTTAAATATTAATATATACATTAAGATCTAGATGTGTAAATTTGAATAAACATCTGAACGTTAAGATGTTGTCTCTGAATTTGAACACGGATTGTTGGAATTGTTTGTTTTCAATATCTGAAAGTACATATGAAATTTAACGCTATATCAATAGAATATTATAAAAGCCTCATTTTAGTAAAATAGTTTTTTTTATAGAAAATAATATTTTTTAACAATTTTGTCGTAACAAGATAATATGATTTATGTATTAAGAATTTAACATTGAGTTAGATCATTAATAGGCTACTCCTTGCATCAAAAGTTTTGAGAATCTATTATAATGCAATGTAGGGCCCGTTTGGCCATAAATTTTGCAAGTAAAACTTGGGGAAAAACTTGGCAAATTTTGTTTGTCCATACACTTTTTTATTATTTGGCAAATTTTCCAAATTCCCAAATACTAGAAAAAACTAGTATTTGGGCCAAATTTCATTATTTGGAAAGTTTTAGAAATTCAATTTTTACATTTAACTTTTTATTTTACAAAAATAATATATTTATTGACACCAACCAATTCAATTAGCTCCCTTCTACATGCATTCTTTTAATTTCATACATTCATTTATTACAGTTAGTCTTAATGAACTAGCTACTAAATAAAACATGAATTGCATTTATTTTATTTTGGTAGATAAATATTACGTTGTTGATGTTGGTCTACGGAACACAAGAGGATTTTTAGCTCCATTCATTGGAATGTGCTATCATTTGGAGGACTACCGAGGAAGTGAAAGAGAGCCTAAGAATGGAAAAGAGCTATTTAACTATAAACATACTTCTCTGCACAATGTAATTGAAAGAACTTTTGGTGCATGAAAAAGTAGATTAAGAATACTAAGACAAGGCATGAACAACTATGAATGTGACATGCAAGTGAAAATAGTAATTGCTTGCGCTATATTGCATAATTTTTTACGTGAACACCAAAGTAGTGATGGAATATTCAATGAAAATGAAAATGATGATATGGTTGTTGATGAAAGTGACGAACTACTGGCTCCGGATAACAACATCGCTTCATCTTCTCGATCGTCTGATTCGAAAATGTAAGCTCATCGAGAAGAGATTGTTCATAAAATGTGGGAAGATTATATTAAAGAATAGGTTGAACTCTTTCAGATGAGAAAGCATATATTCTTCAGTGATTGCAATATTTATTTCCTTTTGTTTTCTTCTTTTTTTTCCCCGAATTTATATTAGTTGTATTTTCATTATCATGATTTGTACCAAAACCTTTTCACTATACGAATATTTACTGTAATGATTCTTGTTGATTTGTTGCGAAAGTCATAAATCTTGTTACGTGAGATTTCTATTGTGCTATGTAATACAAATTTATGGTTAGTTTGATAGTTTTAGAAACTTATGGGTATAAATCATATTTCTTAAAAAAATGAAATATGTTTCTCAAATTCTATGGCCAAACACATGGTAAAATTTCACCCAAATTTTCATCCAAATAATATTTGCCAAAAATATTTGAATATCTATGGCCAAACGCTAGCGTAATAATAGTTTATATAGAGTAGTGATATAATATTTATGAAAACATTTTATTTTATCATGGACATTTATTATTGTTATCGATCAAATAATTAATATTTTCATATTTTCTGGACCCGTACTAAATATTATATCATGAAGTGTTTGTCAATTCAAATATATTGATTAATTTATAAAAGCAAAAGATGTATATTAAGTTAGTAAGAAAAAAGAAATTTATAACGGTAAGCATGTAAGTAACATAATTAAATAAGAAAAAAATATTTATCAGTTATTGTGATATAGTTGAATTAAGATAGGAGTCTTATTTTTAAGTCCGAATGGTATTAAAAATATGTTACAGATTTGATTCATTCAGATGTATTCAGACTCATTAAAAGGCTTATACGAAAGTAAAATAAACAAACTTAATGAACTGAATCTGAATAATTAAGATTCAATACTTAAAACCAAACATACTGAATGAGGCGAATCTTATTCATTAAGATTCAGACCCCCATTAAGTGCAAATAAATGAAGCCTTACTTAAATTTAAGATTTTTCGTGAAATTGTACGAATACTGAATAAATATTCATAATATGATATTTATAATATTATTTAAAATTTACTATAATTAATAATTAAAAGTTTAGTATAGTTTGAAAAACTAAATTTGGAAAAGGCGGAGATAAAGATGTTATTTTTGAAATATCATTCGCTCAAGTAACAACATTTAACTAACTAACAGAACAATACAAAAGCAAAAAGGACACAAAATAATATAAAAAATTTATCATAACATACCAAAGAGGGGCGATAATCATAACAAACTAAAGTGATAATCAAAGCACAATAAATAACAAGAAATTAGTAACTATAGTAGTAAGATATGCCAACTACGAGACGAATGCGACTACTATTGGTAAAAAATAAGAATTGAAGAACAAATATAATGCTCCAATCTATCCTACCAAAAAATAAAATAACACTCGATTATCTAGTATCACAATTTTCATAATATTCGATATAAGATAGTATCTTCAAAAGGTTGAAGTTATGTCATGTCATATCTAATCACATCTTTTCAATATTTTTACGGTCTACCTCTAAAACCCACACATACATCTCAACATTCTCATTTTATCTTCTTTCATCCTTCGAAAGTGTAAAATTTTAACTGACAAACACTCTAATCCACATAACATAATTTATCAATTCAGTAATACTTTTTTCTCTTAAATTTACAAGCATAATTACTTTATATCTATTGTCTATGATGTCGAGAAAACACCTCTATCAACGACTTCTTTTTCGCACCTCTAACTTTTAAATCAGTCATTTTAAAGATTATTTATGTAACCACAAATCTTTGTCGTAAATATTAATTCATTCACATCTATGCAGATCATTAGTGATTTTAAATAAGACATTAGTTATATTGCATGAAGTACATAAAGCACATGAAGAAAGGTACTTATTTTGTCTTTGCCAAAACTTGGACAACTAGCCGTCTTAGCTCAGTGGTAGAGCGCGTGGCTTTTAACCACGTGGTCGTGGGTTCGATCCCCACAGACGGCGTTTTAATATTTATTTTTTAAAATTTAAATGATTTTTTGTTCTTTTTAACTATTGGTACTCGAGAAGTAAATCACTCCTTATCGCAGGGTTTTTCTTTTGAAAATTGGAATCCGATATTGTAGGATTTTTCTTTGAAAATTAGAACTCAATATCGTAGGATTTTTCTTTGAAAATTGAAACCCGATATTTATAATAAATCGTTAAAAGATTTCAACGTATATCATACGATTATTCTCTTTTTTTAATTGAATTGAATTCGTTGATTCAATTAGTCTGAACAGACTCATAATATGTTTGTCACTAAGAAATTATTTATTAATAAAAACTTACAAGTTATAAATAAATAATAATTAGTAATTTTAAAATGCAAAAAAGTATAAAGAGAAGTTATATATTGTTTATTTGAAAAAAACTAAAATAAGATATCAATGACAATAATGAAATGAGCTGACTTTGCTTTAGACACGCAAGTAATGTATATGCAAATTGAAATGACAACATTCACAAATAATAAAGTAAAGAATAAAATCAATTTTGTGTAATATTTATTTGCAGTATAAGTTTTTTTTAATTTAATTTTCAGTATAAGTTAAAATAGGGATAAAATTTATTTCAAAATAATGAAATTATCTATTTTGTATTAACAATAGGGAAAAGGATAAGTATACCTTCGAACTATTGTGAATGGTATGCAGATACCCTCAGTCATTTTTTTGGAACATTGGTGTCCATGTCGTTCATAAATTAGAGCATATGGCCTTCCTTCTAACGAAGGGGCAGGGCCATCAATGTCACCAATGTACGACTGGAGTTTGGAGTTTCAATGTCCCAAAAGTATGACGAAGGGTATTTGCATACCATTTATAATAGTTCAAAAATATATCTGTCCTTTTTTCCTTAATAATAAAATAAAAAATAGATTATCACGTTATAATAAATTTCTTCAAATATTTAGCATTAATAATCACGATAGTCCCCAAATATATTAAATCCTTTTTTAGAATATTTGTATTTTAACTTGTTCAAACATCGTCGTGATTCACGACTATGGAATAATTTTTTTGCTTTGCTTTATTTAAATAGAATATTTTTACTAAAGGTTAGATTAAAAGGAACAAGGATAGAATATAGTAGAGACTGCATTTCAAAGTCATAAAAAATGAAAACGCCAATAATATTATATATTTTAATTATCTATAGAAGGTTGTTTTTCTTATTTTCTTAAGATTGTCAATCTCTATTTTTTTATAAAAAAATTAATTACCTATTCCATATGTCAAAAAAGAAAAGGAAAAATTACGCGGCTAAGTAAACTTATACTATTAATTACTCATCATAGCTATAGTTTGTTATAATTACCACTCACGACTGACATTATACATTAATTATGTGAGCTGACTTCGAGTATTTATAATTAGTCATGTTTGTATATGTATAATTTGCCAAGATATACAAATAAATATGCATAATATACAATTTTTTTAACCTATATACATATACAATTCACCTCTCTCCCACTCTCTTCCTTCTCTCGCTTGCATCTCTCCTCTCTCAATCTCGCTCGCCTCTCTCCTCCCTCTCCCAATCTCGCTTGCTATTTATACAAATGTATGTGTATAATATACAATTATATACAATTATATACATATACAATTCACCTCTCTCCCACTCTCTGTCCTCTCTCGCTCGCCTCTCTCGATCTTGCTCGCCTCTCTCCTCCCTTTCCCAATCTCTCTGCCATATATACAAATATATATGTATAATATACAGTTATCTAACCAATATACATATACAATTCGTCTTTCTTCCACTCTTTTCTCCCTCTCTCCTCTCTCTCCCAGTCTCGCTTGCCTCTCTCCTCCATATAACATGTAGTTACAAATTGTAATTATCAAACTATAGCTATGAAGAGTAATTAATTATATTTAAGTGACTGTATATGAAAATTTCAAAAAAAATTTGTCATCCTCAATATCATAACACTTTCCGTCTAAGATCTTTTTTTATCAATTATCCCACATGCAACTTATACTAAAAAAATTAGGATTTAAAGTTATTTAGCAAAATCTAATTTTTGCTAAATGTAATTTTTAGTTTTAGTGGTTAGGGCTTTAGAGTTCTATATTAAAGGTTTCAAGTTTGAAATTTTTTGTCAGCAAAATTAAAAAATTTATCTTTTAAGTTGAGCTTAACGCATTAAACTTGTCTAATATCAATTACCTCTCATATGTGATTGTGAGTTTCATATAATGATAAAATAAATAGTCTAAGTACCACCAAATCTCTAATTAAATACACTATATTTTATCTCAAAATTATTATATCCGACACGTTAAGCCTCCTAATAGTTGCCAAAATTCAATTTTTTTTTTAAAGTTAGGTAGATCATTTGGCGTGAGAATTAAGAAAACTAGCAAAAGTAAAAGTTATACTATTTTTAAAAGTTTGAAATTATTTATTTATACATTGATAAATTCATAATATTTTACACTATTTTTTTTTTCAATCGGCAAAAAAAATGTTGAAGGCATCAGTGAATGCTCGATATGAGACTGAAGCTGAAAAAGAAGCGGCAACCGGCGGCGCCACTGTAACTTTCAACGCCGGCGACTTTAAGCTCCGTGCTTCTATGACCGATGCTACCGTAATCAACGGTCCCAGTTTAAACGGCTTATCTCTCGCCGTTGAAAAACCTAACTCCTTCATCTTCGACTACAACGTCCCCAAAAATGTGCGGTGAATTTCTTCTCTGCATTTTTCATGTTTTTTTTTAAAAATTATTATAGTTTATTTTTGTGCTAAATTTCAGTAGATCTTAGCTGTAAAATCACTATGCCAGTTATAATTATCCTTGAATCGATTCAACAAATAGCTGAATCTCAGTGGTCTCTGATACTATCTGTCCAATTTATATGATACATTTCGAATTTCGAGAGTTACTGTGCATTTGAGCATGATTGATAATAACACAATAGTTGAGTGTTCAAAATATTTCAAATCTATATTAAAAATATTTGAATCACGATATCTAAAAAGTGTCACGTAAATTGAGACAGATGGAGTATTTGATTTTGTGTTTTTGGATAACTGTGATATTTGGATCAACTTTCGATTTACATTCCACCACCAATAGGTATAGACAGGTAGCTCTGTTAGATATGAAAAATCATTTAGTGTTTTTTTTCCTCAGTTGAGATTTCAACTTGACATTTTATGGTTCTCAACCGACTTTATTGACTAATAGGCCACGTTAACACTACCAAAAAAAATGATATATTGAGCCGTTCAACACTAACAAACACTGGATATGATTATCTATTTTTCGTGACGACAAGACTACTCTGCCACTTTCACATGAAATTAAACAAAACAGTGTTGATTTAGTTTATTTTTTGGTCTATGAATTGAAGAAATTTGAAAATTTGAAATGCTTTTCTTAAAAGGAGGGAGAAAATCCAAAGAGTTCTCTTTTTATGTTTTGTACTAACATTTTTTGGACTTGTTTAAAATTAGTATGGACTATTATTTACTATTTTTTTAAGGATTTTTTTTGATTTCAGGACATCAAATTTCAATTTATGAACTCAATAAACGTTTTGGAGAAGCCATTGAATTTGAAGTACACTCACTCTAGAGGAGAGGACAAAACAACACTGGATGGGACATTGGTGTTTGATTCCGCGAACAAGTTGTCAGTCAGTCATAAGCTGAGTTCGGGAGGTTGTAAATTGAAGTATAGTTATGTTCATGGAGGACTCACTACTTTCGAGCCGAGCTATGATATAAAAGAGGATTCTTGGGATTTTGCAGTGTCTCATAAAGTTTACGGGAATGATGTTTGTAAGGCTACGTATCAGACACCTAGTAGGAATTTGGGGCTTCACTGGTCGAGGAGTACGAAGCTAGGTGGATCGTTTAAGGTACAATCGTTTTATTGTTTGAGTTATATTATTGATATAGAGACCTGAATAAAAAGCGGTAGATAATTTATATAACTCATACTATACAATTGATAGATTGATCAGTATCTTCTTGGTTGCCTTATTTGAGTGAGTAACAGAAGTAACAATAATCTTGTATTGCTATTTAAATTTGATTGAAATTTGTTTTTTTTTTGTTTGATTCGAAGATTATTTTGTCAGGCCACAATCTTTTCCTTAGATTATTTTGATTTGTACAAGATTTGATGGTATGTTGATTGTACTTGCTGTGTAAAATCCTTATAGGTGTACAAGCATTGAAATTTGAGAGTATAGACGAGTTTTGAGAAAATCGATTACAAAGCTATCTTCTAGTATAAAATTGAAGAACCGCTTTTTTACTACACTAGTCCTTTTAGAATGAGCCATTTACTCCACTTCTGATAGGATGTTTGATAAGCCAAAAATTTGACTTAATATCTGCCAGTCTGTTGTCATCCTTGCGGAATTCTCTGCAGTGCGTACACAGTGGAATAGTCCACAATAATAAAATTGTTAGCAGTGGAAACAAGTAGGGTCGAGGATAGGGAGTGTGTTAAGGGGTTCATACATTAGTCGGTGGTTGCCTGTTTAATTTTGGTTTTCCATACTTTGCTTAGGGAGAGCCTTCCCATGGCTGCCTCTTTCATAAAACGAAACATGAAACCATATTATCTTGATCTAATGGTATGTTGGGTACTAAGTGGACGCATACTTTCTTTGCACTACTTTGTTTAAAAATGAGTCACTTGTTAATCATTTGAAGGTGTTTTCTCTGCTTAAGACGTCTTGCCCCTCAGTCCTATGCCTGCAAGACATCACATGTTTTAGGGATTAGTCAGTTAGTAGTTTTTAAGGCTACAAATTTGAGAAAATATGAAAGAACGGAGATGGATTTCTGGATGACACATACCATCTTACAAGCGAAATGAGTTACTCAATGGTTCCTCTTCCAGACTAATGTCGTAAATTAAAAACATGCTCCAGTTTATGCTAATTGTTTGATTCGTCGTTGATTCACATTCTGTGATATTAGCCTGTAGAACAAGTCAGAGAAGTGGAGTCAGTTTCTCTCCTTTTTGTTTCTGATGCTTTTATCATCTTACCTATTTTACTATGCATTATCTTTCGAAAACACAGTAACTGATTTGTAGTTGGTAAAATGTTCTCTTCGTTTGATCTTTTGATAGCTAACGAAGAAATCTAAAATATATACTACTATGTTTTCGTTATCATGTTGTTGTTTCCCGTCACTGCTACCAGACTCTTGACATAAACAATTCTTGCCTCCAGGTTTCTGCATCTATGTGTTTGGATGATGATGAACTTAAACTGCCAAAGTTAACTGCTGAGACTTCATGGGACTTTGACTTGTAACTCTTTTTTGTATTTTCATTTGATCATTTCATATAGTTGTTGTATTATTCACTAGTTACCTATTTAGTCCTCAAAATTTATGATCAAGATTTGCCAGTACATTATACTGTAGAACTTCATATTTCTTGATAACGTGTAGGCATATCTTATTCTTTGTTTCTGCTATACGCTTGACTCAAGAAATAACATGTCCTATTATAATCCCACAAATAGAAGTTGAGTCTATTTGTGGAGGGTGAGTATACTGTATGAGCATTTTATATTATTGAAAAAGTAAAATAAAATATGATGCAAATAAAAAGAAAAAAGGACAAATATAACTTCGAATTATCGCAAATGTATGCAGATATCCTCCGTCATACTTTAGGGACATTGGTGCTCCTGTCATCGAAAAATCAGAGCATATATGTCCTTCACTCTAATGAAAGATTAAATAGGAACACGCGGCGTAATCTTATCTATCGTTTCAATATTTAATAAATATCGATCGGTGGATAAGATTACGTCACGTGTATATCCGTTAGTATAAATGGTATATATGCTTTAGTTTTTTGACAGCAGGGACATTCATGTCCAAAAAGGTACAAAAGAGAATATATGCATACCGTTTACGATATCTAGGGGTATATTTGTCATTTTTCCGGATAATTTGTATTTATAATTATCATGTTAAAAAGAAGGGCAACTTTCACATATAGCAAACAAAAAATTCATATTTGTATGCTATAGCAAACTTTGCATAATTGCGCTCCATAGCAAATATAAAAACTGTATAATTCGCTATACATATACAAGTGTATAATTCGCAGGCCTAAATTGTATAATTCGCTGGCCTATTTCGCTGCAATTATATAATTAGCTTTGCATACAGTTGAATCGAATTAAAATGTATGTATATTGCATAATTATAAGTGTATAGCAAGAAGATATATGTTTTTCCCGCTTTATACAAAAACAGAAACACAATATATACACTTCTATTGTATAAAGCTAGAAAAAATTGTATTTCACTGCAATTGTATAATTCACAATTGTATAATTCTTTGGCCTTTTTCTCTGCAATATTTGAAGTAAAATGTTTGTAAATCATATAATTAAGTGTATAACACGAAGATATACATTTTTGCATGTGTATATACAATTTTCTCTCGCTTTATACAAAACAGAAACAAAAATTATACACTTATGTGTATAAAGCGAGAGAGGCGAGAATGGGAGAGTGGCGAGCGAGACTTCTGGGAGAGAGACGCCTGGCAAATTTTTGCCAATGTTTGCTATGGAGTACAATTAAATCAAACTCTAGCTATTCTATTTAATTTAGGTTATTAGTTTGCTATTATATACGATTTTCCCTAAAAAGAATTTGTGTTGAATAGGTTTGTACTCTTCCGTAGTCCATTTAAAGTTGAGCAAGTTGTCAACATCCATTGGTAACATTCTATAAATTATATGGATATAATAATATACAAGTATTAATTCAATTATATAATATGTGTGACACTCCATCTAGATTGCTTCAAATTACAAATGTCACATCTCTATTTATCATTTCAAACTTTATTTTTTTCATCAAATGACACAAAGTTCAAATACATTATTAGAAGAAAATGTCACAACCCCTACAAATTTGGCATTGACCTAGCTTATAAAGAATTTTATGTTAGTCTTTTTTTTTTAGGTTTCGAAATTGAATTTCACCGCTAGTATAATTCAATCTCAAAAATTAGTTCAGGAAGGGAATATTATCCAAAATTACACGTAAAACAAATTCCTCCTACATTTACTGCTGAATGTAGAACGTGAACAATTTTATATGAGGTGCAACATCGATAGATCAATAATTGTGTAGTGCCTTATTCTGATACTTGTTTCATTAAAAAACTTATTTTTTTTTGATAAAATATAATTTTATTATTTAAATATAGTTTTAAGTATAATTTTATTATAACACTTTTTTCGATTCAGTTTTGAAGGTGCTACAACTAATAAACTAAAAGAAAAACCCAAACAACATGAGGAGGGGTGTCTATAATTTTTTTAATAAAATTAGAAAAGGGTATCCTATAATTTTATTCAAATGTGTTTTTTTTATATTTCTTTTTTTTTTCTCCGTTTTTAATTGCTAACCATATATGTAAAACATTTCAAAATTGAAAAGTCAAAACTCTTCATTGGTGATTATTAGGGTTTGTTGGTTGGGGAAGATTAACTGTGAGCCCTTTAAGCTCAGCTCAAGAGAGAGAAAGAGAGAGGAGAGAGAAGCCTCTAACCTAACAAACTCTCAAGATTCATATGAAGGCAAATCAAGTTACATTTGGGGGCATTTAAAGAAACAAATTGTTTTGAGCTCTTAAGTTTTTTTATTTGTTTGTTTGTGATTTTATATGGATTTTGTCATCTGGGTGTTTGCTTCCTGCAATTATTATTCATAAAGGTGCGATCTTTGAACCCTTCTTGTTTGTTTTTGTAATGGGTAGTTGCTTAAAGCTCTGATCTTTTTCATTTGTTATTGAAAATTGTTGAGTTTGTGTGATTATTGTGTTTATTGTTCTCTTGGAGTTTGCATATACCTCCACGAGGTAGTGATAAAGGCCTAGTACACTCTATCCTCTCCAGATTTCATTAGGTATGTTATCGTTATATAAAAGTGTGAAGTTTTGATCCCTTTATATATGTTTGTGTTTGCTTTGATTTTCGACGTCCATATGGTATAGGGTGATCTCTTTCTTATGTTTAACCTCTGCCTATATGAGCTTCACATTGCTGGGGTGAGATGTGGTCCTAAATTCTTGAGTATTTGAATGAAACATGCCCAAATAGAACGGATATACGAGATTTATATAAGTGATCCAACAAGATTAAGTTTAGAGAGAGTTTTGTTGGCTATTGGTGGTGTGGAAGTGTATTATTTGCGTTGATCGATGACGTGGATATTTGGGATTGACCACACTTATGTTGAGTTTCTTAGTAGTGGATATGGATCTTGGATTTCTATCAAAGAAAGTATTTATGGGAATGGATCAAGTTGAACCTGAATAGAGTGGTGTAGACATATCATGTATATAACCAATTCCAACTAATTTGGAATTGGGGTTATCTGATAATATTATGGTTCTTTATTCTTTTTCTATGAATGGGCTATGGCTTTAGATGATTAAGCAATAGTTTCTTCATAATATTTTTATTTAATTTAGTTGGTTTAGTATTTGTGTGGCTCTTCTTGATTAGTTTTAACTTAAAAATGAGATCAAATGATACTCTTCCGAACATAAACTACATATGCAATAATGTTTAATACTACTATTGAGTACAGTTAATTAACCAAAATATTCATGGTTTCTTTCTCATAATGTTCTCCTTCATCTTCAGTAGGTGTCTGGATTCTCAAAGTTATATTGGAGAAGGAGGGTAGTGCATGAGTTGATGCTTGATATTAAATGTACTGAGCGTTATGATAGTTTTTGTGTATAGTAGTGGTTGTTGTGTTTTTTCCTATAAAGAGGTGCAAGCCAATCAGCTGTGGTTAATAAGCCGATATGCCGAGTAACTATCTTTTTAGATTAAGCCGGGCTGCTAGACAGGGACTCCAGAAATCCATATCTGGGAAAGAAAGTGGGCTCCAGGATTCGGTTGAGATTTTGGTTGCCCAAGGGAGATTGTTGTTTGGCAATTCAAAGTGCTTCTATTCAGTACCATTTGCAAGAGCAACTGACCTGAATGTGCTTGTCCGGCCTGGAACCTTAGCTGCCGCACAGGCGAATTTGCACGTAGCAAACCAGAAAAAGAATATTTCTGTAGTTGGAGCTATTTCTCGTGCAGTTTCAATTCCTTCTGTGTCAGGACCAGCATTTCACATCTGTGGCTATCACATTGATCGCGTGATATTGGACCCGGCTGAAAGTTTGTCTGACAGCGACTCTCACAAAGCACCTATGGAAATCTGTGGTTCTCGAACTTGTCCTCCTGGCTGTTCCTCAAGCAAAATGACTTCAAGACATCTCAATGGTGTTCTTTCTGTAAATAATCCTATTACCTCTTATAGCAATAAAAGCTTTGATAATTGTAGAAAAGCCAGCATGAGTTTGAGAAACAAAAATCAGCCCAACAACTTTTTACTTTACGGATATTTCGCATACAATGTGGCAAAGAGACGGGGAAATTCTAATCTATATGAAGGCTTTGGTTTGATGGGGTTCCATACTTCATCAACTGCTTCTTCTTCTACTGGCACTGCTCATGATGTGTCATTTGGTAGCTCTACGTGTGGGGTGCAGCTCTCAAGTTCAGCAGATTCATCTGAACAGTATGCTTCCTTTCATAACTTTCTATTCTTATTCACCCTTGTATAGCTGAAATACAGGGAATTCATGTCATTTCATACAATACAAAAAAAAAAAGAAAAGAAAAAGAAATATGCAAACTACATATGTGGAAGTGAAGGAAATATTATTGACTTGAACACCATCCTCAGTTTAGAAACTTAAAGCATCTTCTTGTTAAATAAATTTAACGAAATTGGCGTGAGTAGTGCTTAAATTTTCGAAAGTATTAGAATTCCTTAGAATGTAGTGTTATATCCATAGTTTATACCAGAAGAAAATTTAAGAACTCAAAGGGTTGAGAAAATTTGCTACCTTATGAAATTTTGCGCCTGAAGTAGATTAAGAATTGAAAGAAGTCATGTGCTAGGTTGCGTCGTTTGGGATAATATTTTCTTTTATTTGCCTGTGCTTCAAAACCATATTTGCCAATATCACAATTCTGGAAACTAAAAAAGAAAACACAAAAATGACTTGAGAAGTATTTATTATTAGAACTTAGATGCTCCTCAACTATCTTTGGTTGAGGCATCGTTGTTAGCGCTGTCTGTTATGAGAAAATATTAGATGCTTAATACAATTTGTCTACCACCATGAGAAAGCTACTAGCTAATTTCAAAGGTGGAACTTGAGTAAAAAAGTACTATGTAAAAGTTAAAATCGTCCTGAAAGTTTCTCAAG